TTTTTTTTTTTTTTTTTTTTGGACAGGGTCTCACTATGTAGCCCAGGCTGACCTCAAACCCGCAGTGATCCTTCTGTCTCAGCCTCCTGAGTGCTGGGATTACAGGTGTGCGCCATCATACCTGGCTAGTTTTGGCTTTTCTTTTTATTAGACCAGGGGCTGTCAGAAAATAAAATTTAGCTGTATTAGTTGAGAGGAAAGAAAGAAAAGTGAGACGGAAAAAGAAAAAAGTCAAAGACAGGTGAGGGGATGTAGCTCAGTGGCACCGTGCCTGCCTAGCAAGCACAAGGTCCTGAGTTCAATTCTTGGTACAAAGAAACAGAGTGAACTCAGACCCACACCGTTTTAGCAGCTACCTGTTCCTTATAGAATAAGGGAAGTGGCGTTGCCTACTAGGAGGTAAAAATGGATTCAAAGCTGGGTGTGGTAGTGCACTCCTGTAATCCCAGCACTGAGGAGGCTGAGGCAGGAGGATCACTGCAAGTTTAAGGCCAGCCTGGGTTATATGGTGAGTTAAAGACCAGCTGGACTGCATAGCAGTCCATGTCAAAAAACCAAAACAAAAATAATAACCTCTAACTTGTAAAATGAAGAGATTATATTAAATGATCCAGAATATCTCCTCCAACACTGACTTAGGTTTATCTATTGTCTTTTCTGTCTTCCGGACCCTTTCTCCTTCCTCCGTGTGAGGAACTGCGTCTAATAAAGCAGGAAGTTACTCAGCCTGTCTTTGAGCCCCCACATGGCTGTGCACAGAATACCTAGTAATTGGATGAAGTAATGAAACTGGCTCTTCCTGCGGAGGTGACTCTGCTCACACCCCGCTCACCGTGTTTTGAACCCTGAGAATGTCTCCCCTGTACTGACTCACCCTTTCCCACTTAACCCCAAGTATTGAGGCTAAATAGCCAAATAAGAAGCACGTGTTAAACGAGTGTCTCACAGAGGGCAGACACAGAAATAAAATTAAAGGGATGCCCTCCCCTTTATAGCGTTAGTACTGAAATTGCAACAAAGTTGTACCTGACTCACTGGATGGAAACAAATTGTAACAGAATCCTCACATTTGCAACGGAAAAGTCCGCCACTATTTTTCTTCTCTAAATACACATTTTTATTTTTTCATTTGTTTGGTTTTCTGAGATGGGAGTGTTGCTAGTCGTCCCCACTAGCCTTGAACTCAGGAGGTAGCCCAGACTGGCCTCAAACTCAAGGGGCCCCTCCTGCATCAGCCTCCCCCATGCTGGGACCACAGGCATGTGCCAAGCTTTCTAAATATGCATTTTTAGTACATCTCATGTGACCACATCTATCACAAGAGTCAGCACTGAGTAGAATTTTGTACTTTGTCCAGCTGTGAGAGTATTTTCCAACACTGATAGATTATTAACAATAAAATAATAGCTGGGAATTTAGCTCAGTGGTGCTGCCGGCTGCCTTGCAAATCCAAGGACCTGATTTCGATCCCCAGTACAAAAAAAAAAAAAAGCCAGGCATGGTGGCGCACACCTGTAATCCCAGCACTTGGGAGGCTGATGCAGGAGGATCACTGTGAGTTCGAGACCAGCCTGGGCTACATAGTGAGTTCCAGGTCAGTCTGAACTACATAGTGAGACCCTGTCTCAAAAAACAAAACAAACAAACAAAAACCAATAAAGTAAGGAGTACCCAGGTTCCCCTTTGCTGGTATCTGGGGCATTTGGAAATCTTTGTGGCATTAAAAGCATTAGGCCTTGCCTGTAGGTGCCTGTCTTCACCTGTTAAGTAGCCAAAAACATGAATGGCTTTACTAAATTCCATGATACTGTTGGCAACATTTCCTGCTGATGTGTGAAAGGTTACTTTCATTGACTAAAAGAATCTCTGATCATGTAAGCAATTAAGAACTCTCAATTTCTTGTTTCTCTCTCCTTTGTTTATTTGGTGGGGGTACTGGGGTCCTAGACCTTCCTAGTCAATGATACATGAAATTTGTTTTAAGAGGCCATGCACAGGCACTAGGTTTTTTGGGTGTTTGGGTTTTTTTGTTTGTTTTTGGTGGTATCTGAGAATGAATGCAAGATCTTCCTACTGAGCTATGTCCCCAGACCTTTTTAATTATTTGAGACAGAGTCTTCCTAAACAGTTCAGGCTGAGTTCAAACTTGGAATCCTCTTGCCTCAGCCTCCCAGAGTGCTGGGGTTATAGGTTGTAGCACCACACATGCTGGCACTGCCACTTTGATTCTCTCTTACAGTTTTTATTTTTGTTTTTTGAGACAAGGTCTTCCTATGTACTCCCAGCTGACCCTGCACTCACAGTGTAGCCCATGGTGGCTTCAAACTCGTAGCCATCCTCCTGCCTCAGCCTCAGTGCTAGGATTAAAAGCATGTGCCATGATGCCCAAAATGCCTTCGACTTTTATACCCCTTACAAGATAGATTATCCTTAAATATTTACCGAAAGGTGTCTATGCATCTCATCCTGCTCAGCGTGACCAGAGAGATGTTCTGATGTAAATTAAGCTGTCTTTTTCCTGCTAAGCTGCTTTAGCTCCTGATCATGGGATTTTGCATTTTTTTTTCATCATATGCTTAAGGATTTCTGTTTACCTTAGATTAAAAAAAAATAAAACACTGCAAGTTCATGTGAGGTTTCTGTATAACTCTCTATCACCATTTTGCTTCCATCCCCCAGAAAGTAATCACTCCTCTGAGACTGGCAGCTGGGGCGGTAGCTCAGTGGTGCTGCCACCTGCCTCAAAAGCGTAAGGTCCTGAGTTCGATCCCCAGTACCAAAATAAATAAATAAATGAGATTTCAGGTAGTTAATTTTTACATTAAAGGCGTCACTTGTGCCCTTTGTTATTTTTTTACCCACCGTCTGTTTTTGCTGGAATTCAAACCCAGGGCCTCACGGGTGCTAGGAAAATGCTCTAACACTGACTTACACTCCTAGTCCTGAGCCAATATTTTTTAAAAGATTTTTCTGTGTTTATATGTATAGATGTATTTCCTTTCTTATTCTGTTCCATTCAATTAAAATAACAAAATGTACTATTTCCTACCATTTATTAACACTAAGTCTGTACACCAGTCAGGGTTCAGTCTGGAGACAGAAAATAGTTCTTTAATCAGAGGAAGTATTATAAAGAGGATAATTAACTATACAAGGGATTGGAGTAACAGAGAATTGCTAGCAAGATGTAAAGAGAGACCAGATGTGGTGGTACAGCCCTGTTATTCCAGCTCTTAGGAAGCTGAGGCAGGAGGATCGCTTTGAGTTCAAGGCCAGGCTGGGCCACATCATGAAACCCTGTCTCAAAAAGTCAAAATAGGGCTGGGGATTTGGCTCAGTGGTTCCGCTGCCCGCTTCACAAGTGCAAGGGCCTAAGTTTGATCCGGTACCCAGAAAAAAAAAGTCAAAATAATAAAATAAGAAGATGTAAAGAGAACTCTAAGGAATACAGAAATAGCAGATACGAAGAGTAGCCAGCTATGGCCTCTTTCCTCAACTACTCCATATTTTCAGTTGTCACGGGTTCCTTGTTTAGCGACCACAGCCTTTATTCCAAAAGGCTCTGCATACACACAGTTTTGCACCCCTCTCTTTTGTGGGGTGCTACAGAGTTTTCTCCTAACCTTCACCCAAGAAGCCCAAGGAGGATTCAACCTGTGTCAGGTGCAGCTTGCTGAGGAGAACGCGGCCCCTGAGAGCTCTGCAGCCAAGCAGAGAGCGGGGCGCAGGGAGGGCGGTCTGTCAGACACAGCAGGAGAGTCTGTGGAGCTGGGGGCTGCTGGGCACTGCCAGGCATGAACGCTGGAGAAGCTGAACCTGCTCCCAGAGCCAGGGTGACAAAGCCCTCCTCACGGCTACCGGCCAAGGAAATACACATTCATTCATTCATTCATTCAGCGAGACAGGGTCTGGCTGTGGAATGCGGGCTGGCCTCGCACTCAGGGCGATCCTCCTGCCTCAGCCTCCCTGGCCGCTGGGATCACAGGTGTGCGCCACCTCACCTCACTCACCAAATGGGCTTTATCCCAACCACAGAGTCAGCACGGTGTCACCAGAACACAGGCTCTCTGGTTACTAACCTGCCTGTCTCTCATAGGTAAGTGGGAAAACGGAGGCACCGGGGGTCCACGCCGACTTGTGGAAGAGCTGAGACACACAGGCTTCAGCATCTCGTGGCTTCTTTTATATGCGAGACTCCAAAACTGTAAAGAGCAAAACGGAAGACAGGTAGGTAGCAGGAAACAGGGAGACAGGTCTTTTGCAAATGGAAAGGGAACCAAAAGATAAAGGTGTGAGCTGGGTAGGGAAGGCACTAAGATGTGTTCTGAAAGGGCGGGGGATTTGGCTCAGTGGTGCCGCTGCCTGCCTTGCAAACTCAAGGTCCTGAGTTTGAGCCCCAGTACAAAAAAATAAAATAAAATAAAATAAAAATGAAGATGCACTCTGCGCACTCCCCAACTCCCCACGGTGACTGTAATCATTACGTACTGCCAAGGCTGACTCATGAAAAATTTTTTACATTTTAAATAAAAATATTTTTAATAGAGATTTGTCCTAATAGCAATTATTCCTAACAGGTTATGTGAGCTCTGCAAACAAAGCTGTTGGATGGGAAAGTACCAGATAAGCAAACAGCTGCTACAAGGTACAAACTCCAGCCAACCCCAGGGAGGGAAAACATCATGGGCAGGGCAAAGGGGGACCAGCACTGAGGGGCTAACCTATCACATGATGACCACCTGCTCCTGGCTGATGTTACCTCCCTTTGAAGGTCTTTCCCTCTCCTTACAAAACTCCCCCAGAACACAAGTTCTGATCATGATTTTTTTTTTTTTTTGAGACAGGGTCTCGCTATGTAGTTCAGGTTGGCCTTGAACTCGCAGAGATCCTCCTGCCTCAGCCTTCCTAGTACTAGTAGTACAAGTGTACACAGCCACACCCAGCTGCCAGGACACATTTTCCCCTTTTATATTTTGTTTTTTTATGCTCCCATTTCTTTTGACACTTTGCTTTGCTGCGGTAGGCAGTTGGCCAGCTGTCCTGACCCTGCCGAGTTCCTGAGGGGGGCCCTTCCTGCCTTCCTCGACCTCCTGTGTTTCATCACTTTCTCTAGTCCCTTGGAAGGAAGAGCCTAGAGGAACAGACAGATTGCTATACACACCTTTACCTCCCAGTGTGTGTATACTGGGAGGGTGTACACACCAAGTCAAAAACAAAGCCTGAGCTCAAGAAAACTGTTTCAAAGTTACAATAATAGGGTCAAACATTTACCTACGTTAGTACTGATGTCCTGTGGCCTAACAAGGGAATGATTTTCAGCTGTAGCAGGCTGCTTATTTCACAAGGAACCAGGTGCCTAGAATTGAATTAGTCAAAGACAAAACTTTCAGCCCAGGGATTGCATGGGAGGTTGCACACTAGGAGGCTGAAGCAGGGTAATCCCAAATCCGGGCAATTTAGTGAGCCCCTGTCTAGGGACGTAATGTTAAAAAATAAAATAGAGGTGGGGATGTTGTTCACCACAAAAGCTCTGGGTTCAGTCCCTGTACCACCGCTCCCCCCAAAAAAAGAAAGAAAAGGTAAAGACCTTGTGTATTTCTCGCTAAAGCGGCCAAGTGTGGCTGTCAGGAAGTCGTGTGACTCGGGGAACCTACAGCTTCCCCGGGGAGAAGGACCTGAGGTGCAGGAACAGGGCTCCAAGTGCGCCCCCTGGGTGTCTCAGCGAGGGCTCTTCTGCGTGATCCCAAAACACAAGCGGAATCAGAAAGTAAATACAGAGCTGGCTGGGGTGTTTGGAAAACAAAGATAAGGAAATAGGAAGCTGAAGGGGGCCGGTGGTTTGGACGCCTCCTACTGGACTGAAAATGGTGCTCAGTGGAGCACAGGGAACCCACCCTCAGTGCCAGAGCCAGCTGGGGGCGGTGCCGCCTGTCATCTCAGCACTTGGGAGGCTGAGGCAGGAGGACCGCTTCCAGGCCAAACCCCCTGGGGCTGCCTGGTGAGTTCTAGGCCAGCCTAGACTGCATAGCAAGACTGTCTCAAAAAACAAAAAAGTGAACATCAACATTCTTTTACTTATTTTACTGTGAACCACATCATAGTTGAAGAAAAGTATTCACATAAAAATGCAGCCTAGGGCCAGGGATTTCAGTGGTTCTGGCGACTGTCTCACAAGAGCAAGGACCTGAGTTCGATCCCCAGTACAAAAAAAAAAAAAATGCAGCCTAACAAATAATTCTCACTCGAACTACCTACCACCCAGAGAAATAAAATACTGCTCCCTTCTTTCACACCCTGCTTTCAGACACCCCTTCTCCAAAGAGAATGTTTTTCTAAGGACTTCCTTACTTTTCTTGGAATTTTACCACCAAAGTGTGGCTTTCTAAGCAATATTTTCTTCTTCTTTTTTTAACATCATGTGGAATCATTTTGGATATATCTTTTTGGGTCTTGCTATGGATTCACTGCACTTCCTAAAACCATGGCTCACTACCTCTAATTCTACAAAATTCTCAACCATTGTCTCAAGTATGGCCTCTGCCTGAATCTCACTGTCTTCTGCTTTTGGAACTTTGACTGAACTTTTGTTTGTTTGGTTTTTGAGACAGGGTCCCACTATGCAAGTCAGTCTGGACTTGAACTCACTATGTAACCCAGGCTGGCCTCAAACTCTTGGGAATCCTCCTGCCTCAGCCTACTGAGTGCTGGGGACTACAGGTCTTAAGCATCATTGTTTTTATAACCTTGTCCAGGAATTCCAGCACTGATTGCGTCCATCTCTCCCTCTGCTGTCTGGTATTTCTGCTCATTCATTGTCGGTGCCTTTCTGGGAGCCACTCACTGGCCCTAAATGATCATTTACGGGAATGAAGGTCACATCTGATTTCTGACAGGCACCTAAGAGTGTGTTCGGCCCAAGACGTCCCCACCCAAGTCCACTGCCTGAGTGAGAGCCTGAGTTCCTCAGCAAGGCGCCTCTGATCTCAGCGTCTCAGAATACTTTTTCCCTTCTCTTCTACAACCTCTTCATTATGTACCCAAAAGCCTTTTCTGCTTTCCCTCAAGGTGGCTGGAGCCACGGGCCCACTGCTGAGTCACCTTTACTACGAAGACATCACCCTTGAGACTCCAGTGTAGCCCACTCCGGGAGGCCCTTGGGCTTGGCTTCCAGAACCATCCATCCGCAAGGCCGGCCACAGGCAGCCCCGTGTGCCTGACTTGTAAACAGCAAAAGTCTCTCACCCGGCGCAAGTCGCCTTAGGGCTCAGATGTCACTTACCTCTGGTCCCCAGCAGGAAGAGGTGCACAGCAGCTCCACCTTCTACTTAATAATGGAGATGTATTTGAAATGCTGTATACCCACATTATTTCTTTAACTTTTAATTACATTTTGAGAATATAAAACAGAACTAAAGACTTCTGATGATGAAAACAGCGCGCGCACACACACACACACACACACACCCCGTCAGGCCCTCACTTTCTAGCTTCTAAAGATGTGTTAAATCCCCTGACTTTGCTTTCTTTTTATCCTCGAGGGCTTCTACTTTCCCAGTTGCTCTACTGTCATTCATTGAGGTTTCAAGAGAGAAATTAATACAATCAACCTGCCAGCTTTAACCAGAAACCCGTGCGTACAGTCCAGGCTGGTTGGGGACATTACCATGCGGGGAAGGGGCCCCTGGAAGGAAGCCATCTGCATGTTTTGATGAGGTCCCTCTGGTGACAGGATGATGGCGGTGGTGGCCACTTCAGGATGGGCTCGGGAGGGTGGGGAAGGGGCTCTTTAGGAGGCGGTGGGCTGCTTCCCCGGCTGCAGCAGCCTGGAGACAGCGAGGCAGCGGACAAAGATGGCCCGTGTCCTAGGATTGCTGGTCTGCACACCCCACTTCTCCTCCAGGACGGCCTCCACCTGGAGGGAAACCCAGCAGCCTAAAAGCTGGGAACAACTAAACAAACCGGAAATGGCAAGCGCAGTCGCGAGCGCACGCGCAGACACAGGGACTGTCGGGGGCTCCTTCCGGTAGAGCCCGCGCGGTGCCCCTGATCAGCCCACGCCAGCCACCGCCTGGCAGTCACATGCCCACGCCCCATGCCTACAGGCAAGCAACAGAGCCTAAGGAACCCATGTCCAGTCGCCCTGGAGACCCACGTCCGGGGTCGTCTCCAGCCACACGGACGTGCGCTGGCAGGGAACCATGGAGTAACAAAGGACGGCACCCCGGAACTTCTGGGTCCCTTGAAAACATCGCTTCCTCTTCTACTGTGACCCAGGCCTCACCGAGGCCCCCTCACCTTGTCCTTCAGCATGAGCAAGGGTCCTTCTTCTCCCAGATACTGCTGCTGCTCTTCCAGGGCTATCGGGAAGCAGAGTAGTGGACCGGGGCCTCCACACGGGCCCAATCACGGAGTCTGGGTGCCCCCTTTCCCTACCCAGTCAGAGACCACAGCCTGGACCAAGGGGCAGGGGAGCTGCTGGTCTCCGCCAAGCAAAGCGAAGCTAAAGGGCCGTTGGCTCCCACCCCAAGACGTGATCCCCAGGCCCCCCTGAGCAGCAGTTCCTCCACCTCTGCATCCAGCCAGATCCTCCCTCACCTGTCAAGACATCCACGAACTCCAGAATGCTGTCGGCAAGCGCTCGCTCTCCAAAGACCAGGACATCAAACACCGGGAGCCAGCAGGCGGGCAGGAAGCGCCGTCCCTCTGTAGCAGGTGATCCTCCGGTGCCAGCTGCCCTCCCACCGGCCCCTCCCTGCCCTGGTCCTCCCCGGGGTCGCTCACCGTTTGCTGTAGGTCCTGCAGGTCCTGTCCCCAACAGAGTCACCCGGTGAGGAGGCTGAAGCACCTTTTCTCTGCCCCTTCAGGCCCTGGAGGTTTCTCTCCGTGTCCTGCACCTTCTCCTTCACGCTTCTGGGATGCTCCAGACTCGAGGACTTTCCTGTAAAGACAAAAGTTAGGAACCTGGCTCGGCCAGCCCAATAGGTTTCATTTTTAAAGCCCTTCCGGACGCCTTATCGGCCGCCCTGCTTTTGGAGACCACTCGCCCGTGTCTTCCCTTCCTCCAGTCTCATCCTGTGAAAGGAAGCCTCCTCCTGCAGACCCTCACCATCACCGCTTCTGGATGACTGCTCCCATCTCCCGGACTCACTCCCAGCTTAACCCAACCCCAAGTTCTCCGCCTCTGGGATACCAAAACCCGGTTAGTCCTTGCTACTCAAAATGCAGTTCTCAGACCGTGCTTGGAGGAGGAAGGGCTGAGGAAGTTAACTCAGGGCTGTACGAAAATCACCTTCAGTGTCTTACAAACCGCAGGGCCGAGCAAGTCTGGGTTACCCGAGGTGGTACTCAGGCATGGCCAGTTTTAGTCTCCCAGGTGATTTCAGCATTCAAACACTGAGAACCAGATAGAGAGTCTGACTCCTGGACTCTGATTCTCTGTGAAAGGGAGGGCGCCTGCACCCCACCCTGGTGTGTAAAGAGCAAAGTGCTGGATCTGTGAGTTTGGAAGCCATAGGGTTAGGACCCAGAGTGGGCACAGCGGGGCCCTCGGTCACCCCTCCAGCCTTCCCAAGACTCCAGCGGAACAGCTAGGATCCAGGGCTTCAGAATCCCCGGGAACTTCTAGCCTAGCTCCCCACCTTTTTTTTTTCCAGTGCGGAGAGTTGAACCCAGGGCCTTGCACATGCTAACTAGGCAAGTGCTATGCTATACTACAGAACTACACTCCCAGCCCCTTTAAAATCGTATTTTGAGGGCCAGGGATTTAGCTCAATGGTTCTGTTGCCTTCCTTGCAAGAACAAGGTCCAGAGTTCGATCCCAGTTCGATTCAAAAAGAAAGAGTATTTTGAGATACCTCTAAGTTGCCACATCTGGTCTTGAACTTGTGACCCTCCTGCCTCAGCCTCCCCAGTAGCTAGGATTACAAGTATACAGCACCATACCCAGTGCCCCTACATTTTTAAACCATGACTTGAGGGAGGCTGAAAAGCTACTGAGTAACAGCACAGCCAGACCAAGACTCTTCCAGCCCAGTACTCTTTGCACCCAGCAAGCAGGTAGCTCAACTGCTTCCTCAGCCAACAGCCTCAAGAGTCATCCTAGGGCACCCAGCTCCACACAGGCTGCCTCTCCATCAGGCTGATTTCCCCCACGGCCCCTCCTCTGCGTTTGTCCTACTTTGCTTTCAGCTCTGACAGAGAGGTGATTCCAGACCATTTGTTCTCTGTTTAAAAACAGTGTCCTCAGCCAGGCGTGGTGGCGCACACCTGTAATCCCAGCACTGGGGAGACTGAGGCAGGAGGATCTCTGTGAGTTTGAGGCCAACCTGGGCTATATAGCAAGACCCTGTCTCCAAGAAATAAACCAAATTCCTCGTTTCTTCTTCCTCTTCCTCTTCTTCTTCTTCTTCTTTTTGAGGAACGATCTCCCTTTGTAGTTCAGGCTGGCCCTAGACTCACTATGTAGCCCAGGCTGGCCTCAAAGTCACAGCGATCCTCTTGACTCAGCCTCCTGAGTACTGGGATAACAGGCGTGCCCCTCCACACTGGCTGCCTCCCTCATTCTTGAATGACAGGAGGCCCAGCTGCTTGCTCACTACATGAAAAAGACTTCATTTTGTTCCAGAAAGTAAATACCTAAACCAGAGAGAGAACTTTTATCTCTTGGTAAATTCCTTCTTTCTAGTGCTGCCCAATCCCATACCCTGTCCTCAACCAAAAAGAAGAAAGAAAATATGGGCTGGGATGTAGCTCAGTGGCACTGTGCCTGTCTGGCAAGCCCAAGGCCCTGAGTTCAAGCCCTAGTACTTCCACATAAAATAAAATAATAAAATGGGTTTAAAACCAACCAGGACTCGTGGGAGCCTGCACAGGCATCACCACCCACTGGTCAGAGCCCGTGTGCTCTCAGTCCATCCTCACAGGCCCGACCCCTCTGCCGGAAGCCCCCCAGTTCCCCAGCCTTGCTTCTTGATCGTCCCATCCCAAAGATGAGGGGCTCTGCCGCGAGCCAGCGGCCGTGGGACAGAGCTCACACTGGAGGGTCCTGGCCTTCACAGTCACCTGCCTCTCAAGCTGTCCTGGAGGAAGGCGTGTCATCCCGGTTTCCCAGATGGGACACAGGTTGGGACCCAGCTCGGGTCAGTGTCGCAGGGACACAGCTGAAATCTGAACCCATCGGACACCAGACCCGAGCAGTTTCCACTGTTGGTTCAGACGTTCACGAGGACCTGCTTGGTTCCAGGGTCCCCGGCTCTTGCCCTCCCTCTGCCTGCTAAAGAGGGAAGCTGAGAGAAGAAAGACAGGGAGCAAAGCACCGCGCGATTAAGAATGCTGGGAAGGGCCAGGCATGGTGGCTCATGCCTGTAATCCCAGCACTCGGGAGGCTGAGGCAGGAGGATCGCTGTGAGTTCGAGACCAGCCTGAGCTACATGGTAAGTTCCAGGTCAGTCTCAGCTACCATAGTGAGACCCTGTCTCAAAAAAAAAAAAAAAAAAACAAAAACAAAACCAAAACCAAAGAATGCCGGGAAGGCTCTGGAGGAAAGGTCAAAGGGCGTCCTAGAAAGCTCAGAGCCTGAGCCTGCCGCGGTGGGATCCGGCCTGGCCCCAGGACCGTAACCTTCCGGTTGCAGCTGAAAAGGCTCCGGATTTCAGACCCCTTCCTTCCTTCAGGGTCCCCCCCTCACCCCGGGCCTTTCCAGGGTCTCGGGACGGCGCTTAGAGGGTAGTCGCTCCTTCAGCGTCCTGGGGGTGTGGAGGAGGAGCCAGGCCCCTCCGTGACACCTCTCCCGGCCACCTCCTCTCCGAGAGGATCTGGGGCGTCCGTGGGCGGGCGGGGCGCACAGCGGAAAGGGAACTAAGCAGCGTCGACGCGTGGGACACGCGACCCTGCCACGCGGGCAGGATCACGCGTGTTTGTCACCGGGAGACGTGAGTGCCCAGCGGGTGGCCAAGCAGAGCGCTGCAATTCCCAGCCTGGTCTGCAGGGGTCCCCAGCGGGTGGGGCAGGCGGCCAGCCGGGCGGCTTCTCTCAGGGAGGCCTGCCCAGCCGCAGAGCTGCGCTGAGCAGAGAAGCCCGCCCTCCAACTACCAAAACCCCTGGGGCACTGGACGGGCGCCACCTTGCGCAAGGGCTGTGGCAGTTTTTCTGCACAGGGCCCTTCGTTTCATTGTGCATCACTTTAGCTCTTTAGGAGCCAGTGTGTGCAGGGGGAGGGGGCCAGGCCGAGGGGCAAGCAAAGCCAGGGGACGCAGGGTACGAGAACCAAGAACCACAAGGAGAGCAAGGAGCTCCTGACCCCAGCGGGGACCGCCAGAGGAGGGCATCGCTGGCCTGGTCAGGCTTCCTCTCCCTCGTGGCTGCTTCCCATCTCTTTTTTTTTGGGGGGGTACCAGGAATCGAACTCGGGACCTTGCACTTGCTCTTGCGAGGCAGGCGGCAGAACCACTGAGCTAAATGCCCGCCACCCCATCATCCTAATGCTATGATTGCAGGGCTCCTGGAAGATGCTTGTGACTGTTGCCTGGCGGATGATTTCACTGCCAGCTTTAAGTCCGTGTTGTCCACAGTTTGCTGCTAGGGCCTCCGCCTGGAAAGACGGACAAAGGTCATATTGGAGCGGACCCAAAAGACCTTTCTCCAGAAAAGCCTCATGGCACAGCCCCTCCCTGGGCTCCCTTCCCTGTCGCCCCCTCTGAGGGAGCGGAGCTGGGTCTCCCCGGGAAAGGCTGCTTTCTCAACAGGAGGCACTGGAGTCGCCCAGTCCCTGGCTTCACCCACTCTGCTACACAGCCTTGGATTAGCCCCTTGCCCTCCTAGGATCCTTTCCTCATCCAGAGATGAAGAGAATTAACAGCTCCTACTTCCTCTGCCTGGGGAACTTAAATAGTATACTTCAGGTAAACACTTAGCAAAGTGCCCGGCACACATTCCAGTTCCCAGAATATGTGACTTAGTCCTGTGTCAGTATTTAAGAGGCTGCCATAAGACAGGGCCCAGTAAGGCTAAAGAGGTAAGAGCCTGTGGTGGTGCACACCTGGGAGGCTGAGGCAGGAGGATCGAAAGTTCAAGCCCAGCTTGGGCAATCTACCAAGACCCTGTCCCAACATTAAATAAATAAATGGCTGGTGATGTAGTTCAGTGTGAAAGCTCTGGATTCCAGCCTCAGTACAGAAAAAAAAAAAAAATCAAGCAAAGCTCAAACCAGGTTTTTGTGGGAAGCACGCAGGTGCAGAGCGAGATGGTGTAGGAGTGTAGGTCAGCTGCTGCCCAAGGTCAGAGAAGGGTGTGCAGCCTGTGAGAGGGACCCAGAGCTTCTCTTTCCATCTCCCAAAAACAACTCTGGGCACCCCCTGCTGCTTGATGGGGGTAGGGGGAGCAGGATTTCCAGAGGCAAAGGCATTTGGGACTGGTGGAAACTTGACAGAATTAGACACAGAGCCCAGGGGCTGGGGATTCGGCTCAGGGGTTCTGCTGCCTGCCTCTCAAGTGCAAGGACCCAAGTTCAATTCCCGGTACCAAAAAACAAATAGACACAGAGACACCAGCATCTCATGGCATTCAGGTCCTGAGCAGTGTAAAAGTCTGCACGTGCTCTGTCAGAGAAAAAAGAAACCCTTATGGTCACAAAGAGGACAGTGTGGAGATGGGAGGGAAAGAAACCGAAAGCTGAGAGGCACTGTCCAGCCAGGTGACCAACGACACATGAGCACTGATAGGACTGCAGGTGGCATGTACCCTCGATAATGTAGGCTCTTCCACCCAAAACCATACTCACAGCTGAGCCATGTGGGGAAAAATCAGAAAAATTCCATCAGAGGGCCTTCCCAAATACACCTGAGCATGCTGCTCAACACTGGCAAAGTCACCAAAAGCAAGGCAAGTCTGAGAAACTTCCAGAACCGAGAGAGGCCGAAGGAGACACGAGCACTTAATCTGAATAAAGTACAAACTTTCATTTTTTAAAAGATGCACTTTAACCACACCATCAGAGCCCAGCCTCGACAAAAATAATCTGTTTGAAAAGGAAATGAACTGCTGGATGTGGTGGTGCACATCTGTAATCACTGCATTTGGGAGGCTGAGGCAGGAGGATCACTGAGAGTTTGAGGTCAGACTGGGCTGGGCTATAGTGAGTTCAAGGCCAGCAGCCTGAACTACACAGAGACCCTCCCTCAAGAAAACACACACAAGAAAGGAGCAACCCAAGTTGCTGAAAAGTGATTCAAATTTCCAAGACTGTAAGGATTGTTTGTTTGCACCTCCACTTCTACACTTTGTACACAAATGGGCTTTGAGGCTGTCTTAGTTAAAATTTTTAGACTTACACTTTACCCCTTTCCCAGGGGAATCTGTTGCAAAATATCACTGTCCCAAGTTAAAGTATTTGTGTGTGTGTGTGTGTGTGTGTGTGTGTGTGTGTGTGTGTTGTTTTCAGTGAAATAATCATTTCACACATTTTTGAGAACTGGCTTTTAATAAATCAGCTCCTAGCATTCACTTTTCAGAAAATTGACTGAAACTGCTGGTCTGAAACTTCTCCCCTGTGGAGAGGCCTGCCACCTCCTCCTGCCTCGGGCACTGTTCCTGGCCACAATATAGCCGGGCCTGGCACAGGTGGACGCTTTAAAACTCTTCAGGGTGCTGCCGGAAGTCTGGCCCAATGCCCTGGCATGAGGCCAAAGAAACGGGCTTTTTAACATGAAATACGGTAAACTCCTCTGTTATTTCGGAGGGAGACACAGACACAGTCTCCAGGTCTAATCCATCATCACCGCCCAACCTGATTTGAGTGAGAACCACCCAGCAGGTTGGTAAAGCTCCGGTGTGTCTGGATGACTGACACGTCGGCCAGACTGAGGAGGGAAGTCCCGCCCCGATGTGCATGACTCAACCAATAAGCTTGTAGCCTGGAGACAATAAAGGCAATATGGCAGTCCTTCCTCTTTTGGAGGACCTCCAGTCTTCATTACAGATTGCCTTTGGACACTGGTCTCTAGTTCCTTCTGGCTTCCAGGACAGACTCTGACTCCCGCTGGTTATTGCAGCAAGCTTCCTGACCTTGACCTTCCAGTTCCTGGGCCCTCCCACACTTCAGCACCCTCCTGACCATCTTGGATTCTTCTGTATCTGATCTGGCCCAATGGCCTTCGGGGCTCTCATTTCTGATCCTGTAACCTTACCTCATGAATCCCTTATGTCATCACACCTGTATTCTATACTGCATCTGTTTCTGTAGAAAACTCTTAACTACACCAAGGGAGGGTTCAACCACACTTACCCTGGGGCTTTTGAAACCCAAGAAACTCCATGAATTGCTGGGTTTTGAGAAAGAGGGATAAAATAACTGACTCTACTATAAACCCCTTCAAGCCCACAATTTCCCTCAGAGTCCCGATAGCCAAGAACGTGGAAGGGTAACTAGTAGCCACCACCACCAGGATGGTTGCAGCTGGCTGCTACCGAGTGTCCCTTCTGGGCCAGGCCCTGTAACGATAAATGACTGATGTAAGTGATTCTCATCTCATCGTTGGAAGTTTTCCAGAGTTGACAGATGAGGACGCTGAGGCAGCCTGTCCAGAGGTCACCCGGATGGTCGGGGGCAGAGCCAGGCTCTGACCCCAGGTGGCTCCAGCTCTCAGGTCTGCCTCCTCCTTCAGCCATTAAGCCAAGAGCCTCCATTTATTCCTCTGCAGAACTCCACTAATTTAAAAGAAATTGTTTATAAAGGGGAAAGGAGGACTATGTAGGAATGGTTTCCACTATGAATTTTACTCCCTCTCTCCCCTCCCACTACGCAGTCCTCACGTGGCTTCTCGGACCACAGTGTGCTGACCCAGACTGCAAACAGACTGGGTGGTGCAGTTGATGTCATCAGGGAGTCAAGAACTGGATGGCTGGGCGTGGTGGAGCACACCTGTCATCCCAGCACTCGGGAGGCTGAGGCAGGAGGATCGCTGTGAGTTCGAGACCAGCCTGGGCTACACAGTGAGTTCCAGGGCAGTCTCAACTACATAGTGAGACCCTGTCTCAAAAAACAAGGACGAAGCAGAAGCAGGCAAAGTTCCCTGGCTGACCACCTCCACTGCCTTGTACTGGCTTGGAAGCCCTCGGTCCTGCTCAGGACGCCCTGTGGGGTGAGGTATCCAAACAGCATCCTCCTCCTCAGTACCACCAGACACCAGCAGTGTAGGCTGCCAGCATCAGGGACCAGAGGTTCTGTGACTGTCTCGGGTAGATCGGGCACTGTGCTCGGGCCAACTGGGGAGAGGAAGGTATTGGTTCAGGGTTTTAAATCTTCTACCTTTGGCAGCTTAGGGTCAAGGAAGAGCCAAAGATGACAGGACAACAGGACCGGGAATGGTCTGCCTTCACCTGAAGAAGAGTGAGAGTCACAGGGCTGACCCTGCTCTGTCGGCAGGGAACCGTCTGGGGGAGATGGAGCGGGGCTGCCCCAGGCAGGAGGACAAGGCCTGCTCGCTGCACGTCCAGTCTTCAGAGGAGCGCAGCTGCCCGTCCGGGTGCCACCGTCCCCACCCGGCTGGCCGATGCTGGTGGGCTCCCTGCCTTCCTGGCTAATGTGGTCAGATGGGCGTCTCCTACCAAGCGTTCCACATGGGCTGGTGGCCTCCAGGAGCCTCCTGGGCTCTGCTTCCCCAGCCCCTCCTGCCTGGCTGGGCAGCTACTCACCACTGGCACCCTGCAATGGCCAGCTCGGCCTCTCCTGGTCTGGGAATCCTTCCAGGGCTCTGGAAGCTGTTGCCAGGACCACAGGCTCATCCCCAGGGCCATCCCCAGGGCCATCTCCGGCCCGTCCCAGCTGCTCACCAGGAATACTGGACCCCCAGGTGGGGCACCCTCCTGGGCCTGTCCATGAGCCACTTTATAGCAGGGGTGGAGACAGAAGGCCCAAGGCCACCTTTCCTTTTGGATCCGAGGAGGAGGGAGACCCTGAGATCTATTCCCCTGGGTGAGTCTGGACCAGCGATGGTGCGGAACCAGGGAGCGTGGGCCATGCTATCCAGTGGGGGCGGGAGTGACCGAGTGGCAGCAGACAGCACTGTGCTGCGCGAGTGACGTCAGAAGGCTCTGTCCCAAGGCCAAGGCGGGCGACAGGCACCTCAGAGCCCCTGCAGCTCAGGACAGGAGGAGCAGCCTCATCTCTGCTCACCCCCCAAATGCCCCTCAGGGAGATGCAGACCCCCTGCACTCGCCTCCCCCACGACAGACACCGGGCCACCCGTGTCCCTCCTCAGAGACGACCCCGGAGCCCAGCCTGCTTCCGCTCGGGTGTGGACGAGGGTTAGGATGGCCAACGCGGGTGTCACGGGAAGTGCTTCCTGCTGGGCGCCATGCAGATGCCCACCAGAGCCACCAGGTGGTCTCCTGACGCCTCGGGGAGGCTCGGCTCAGAGCAGGAACTCGCTAAGGCCACGTGCTAGCAAGTGGCAGGGCTGGGACTGGAACAGAGATGGTGGCTAAAGTGACCTGCAAGCCTGGCTGGCCCAACTGCGTTTCTCCTCCCAGGGCCATGCGGCCCATGACACCCGCTGGACCTGGGCCGGAACCACTCGGAGGATGCAGTGAGGCTGGCCCAGGGCCAGAGTGGGGCGAGCTGCTGGGGAACCCCTGCCCACTCATGCTCCTGGCATGCTCCTGGAGGAAGTGTGAAAATCCCTGCAGTAGAGGGCCCAGAGAAAGCACTGGGCATGGTAACACACGCCTGTAATCCCAGCATTTAGGAGGCTGAGGCAGGAGAATCACAAGTTTGAGGCCAGCCTGGAATACAGAGTGAGATCATGCCTCAAAGAAAGCAAAAACTGGCCAGGTGTGGTGACACACACCTGTAATCCCAGCACTCAGGAGGCTGAGGCGGGAGGATCGCTGTGAGTTCGAGACCAGCCTGGGCTACATAGTGAGTTCGAGGGCAGTCTCAACTACGTAGTGAGACCCTGTCTTCAAAAAAAAACAAAAAACAACAAAAAAAGCAAAAACCATGAGGAAGGGAGGAAGGCAGGCCGGGAGGAAGGCAGCCCTCCCAAGGTGGCAATGACTGGGAAGGTCTCAGGAGAGCGATGGAGCACCAGGGAGAACCTGGCACCTTGGGGGACCCTAGCTCCATCTATGAAGCCACCACCTCCTGGCCCAGCTGTTCTGGGTCCGGGGTGCGAGGCCTACAGGCAGACAGATCCTGCTCCCCACCCAGAGCCTTTACCAGCTCCCACTGGGCCACAGCACCCCAGAGTCCCCACCACCCCTGCAGCAGGTGCTGCTGCCCCATCCCCAGATCCCCCAGGAAGTACCAGCCGGACAAGAAGCAGGAACATATCGCCCTTTATTCGCATTTCTCAGAACACTGTACAAAGGGAGTAAAAATCCTATTCACACTTCGCTTAGAAAGATCTGAAGGTGAAAGTTCCCTATTATACCTGGGGCTAGGGAGGCCCAGGCCCTGCTCTAAAGCCGCAGGGAGGGGAGAGGCGGCTCCCAGGGGTGAAGGGACGGCCATGACCACCCCATGCTTCTCCCCTGCCCTGCCTGGGAGGGGTCCGGCAGCCCAGCGACCCGTGGGAGGTGGCCTCCTGGCCCACATGTGCGAGCCCCCACAGAGGCCAGGCCCCACTCCCTCGCGGGCTGGGCAGGAGCCCGCACCACTGCAGAGGGCGGTGTCCACCCGGACCTGACTGCGGGGCCAGCAGGCCACCCCGCCCACAACCCAAGAGCCCCAGACCCACAGCAGTCCAACCTCCCACTGCCGTCTCTGTGCCACAGCCGAAATGACCCCCAAGCCCGCGGCCCTCACCACATCCCAGAGGACACAGGGTCCAGCTCCCCCGCCCCATACCTCCCCGCCTTCAAAGCCCCAACTCCCCACCCCAGCTCGCCCAGGACCAGGCGGCCTGGCTCCCACCCACCACGCACACACCCGGGCTGCAGCGGAGCTGCCAAACCCCAAGGCCTGTGCCGGGCAGGGGCGCGCCGTGGAGTCTGGTGCCACTGAGCACTCCGTGAGCCGTACAGGACCCCGAGGGCCACCCGAAGGCCAAGACCGGCGGGGACATGATCCAGAACCGTTGGCTCCCCGCGTGGGGGTAGAGCTTTGGGCAAACAAGTTTGCGGGGTCCCCCGGCCCGGCCTCCTGCCCCAACCTTGCGGGTCCGCGCTCAGCCAGAGCCCGGCCCCTTCCCTGACGACCCCATAGGTCTCTCTCTATTCAAAAGGCAAAAGGAAAGATCAAAAACTTCAGAAAGGGTTAGAGCCTGGGGCCCACACCAACCCCGCTACAAGCTACTCCGAGTCGCTACTGGGAAGCGAAGGGAAAAGAGGCCCGGGGCTCTGCACGCGGCGGCCGAGCTCCGGGCTCTGCCGGTGGCATCGCGGCCAGGCACTGGCCCTGTGCCCTCAGTACTTATTGATGCCGAAGATGCGGACTCCGTGCAGCTGGGGCAGCTTGGGGATGAGCACGCTCATCAAGGACACCGTGTTGAGGACGAAGTGGACCTGGTCGTACTTGGTGTAGAAGCTGGTGAGGAAGTACCTGGGGGAGGGCGGATAGCTGGGAAGACGGAGGGCGTCCAGGGCTCCCCACCCCGGAACCCCCCTGCATTCCCCGCGCTACACCCAGGCCCAGGCTGGCCGAGCCTCTCCCGGCCCTCCGTGACACTCACAGCACAATGGGCGTGATGGTCAGGAACTTCCGGGAGGCTGTGAACTGCACCCCGTAGTCCATCTGCTCCCAATGGGTCAGCAGCCTCGCCTTGCCCTGGTCCGGGGTCTCAAAGGGGGTCCCTTTCACTGTGTGCAAGAAGATGTACATGCCCTGGCGGGAAGGGGCTTCGTCAGGAGATGCGAGAGGCAAAGCGGACCCGGCAAGGAGATGCTCACCCGTAATCCCGGCCCAGGCAATTCAGCAACTGAGGAAACCTTGTCTCAAGATTTAAAATCAACAGCTCAGGGTGAAGGCCCTGGGTGCCATTCCCCGTACCACAGGAGGGGGGCGGGCTTCAGGGTCCCGGTTCAATTTTTCTACCAGTAATAGCTCCAGGTGACCTCTGGCCTCCCTCTGCAGGGCATCAGGGTACAAGCAGGAAGTCAGATCGCAGAACAGGCACGGAGATGCCCCCATCCAGCCCCACCGGAGCCTCATGTGCCAGCCAGAAAGGGCAAGGGGACGAGAACGGCCCCAGAGCAGCAGCAGGCGGGCTGGGACACAGAGGGACAGAGTGGAAGAGGCGCCACGTGCCAACGCTGCACAAGGCCAGGCACCAAGATTCCTGGGTGCTAGGGCCACCTTCCAACGCCCACAGCCACCGGGCTCTAGAGGGAGGGACCAACGTGCAGATCTGGTTCTTCCCCCAGACTACATGGGCTGGACCGAGGCACGCGCGGCAGAGACGGGGGGGTGGCCTGGGCTCTGGAGATGGATGTTGTCACGGTGCCACCTGGCTACCCGGCCCAGGCCTGGCGGCCCCTCCTGCTCCTCGGCTGTGTCAGGAGGGCGGCGGGGCTCTCACCATGTTGTGGATGAGGTTAGTGAGGGTCCAGACGACGGGGACGCTCACAAAGGGGATGCTGAGCAGCACGACGTGGAGGAGGCCGATGGCCAGCACGTAGGACAGCCAGATGCCGCGGCTGTTCATCACCCGCGTGTTGGGGTTCACCTCGCTGTGCGCCGTGCCCACGTTCATCCTGCCACCCCTCTCCGCCGCTGCTCTGCAAACAAGCAGCACAGGTGAGACAGGTCACACCACTCTCCCTGTCCCTTCACAGCCGAGAATCCCTCCCATGGAGCGGTCCGGAGTTTGGGTGCTCAGGCAGGAGGCAGCACACAGGCCTGCGGCCCCCGCTTCGGCCACTTCCTGCTGCTGGCTGGACTAATACGGGGCTGCCCTACACGTCATGCCTTTGGGACAATGCCCAGCAGCACCTGGGAGGTGTCTGTCCCCAGCCCCACTCCCTCCTGCCCCTCCCCGAATTCTCTCAGTGTCACTCCTGCTGCAGGCCAGGAGACACCTCCCACCCTACACCGTCCCTGGGGAGTAAAGGGAGGCCTGCTACAGTGGATGAAGTGTGGGGTCACCACTGCCGCCCACCCCTAATTCTCTAATCCCAGATTTCCCCAGCCTAGAAGGAGGCGCAGGACAGACAGGCAGGGAGGGAGGCAGAGCAGCAAGCCTGGGTCAACCTCTGCCAGACCTGGAAGGCTCCCTCTTGGTAACATAAAACAAAACATCCAGACATTTTCTCCATTTGGCAGCCTCTTAGGCTAATCCTCGGGATGCCACCCCTTCTGTTGCCCAACTACCATGGCCCTTTACCCCTCAGGGGGAAGGGAGAACAGAGATGTGGCCAACACCCACAGCTGCACAGGTAGCTAGAACGCTATCAACATCCCCTCCCAAGGACACAAAACCCTTCCGTGGCCTCCTTGCTCCTCCTGTGGTCTCTGCCCTGCCTGTCCTCACACAACCTCCCTCGCCGGCTCGGACGGGATAAGCCCTGTGGCAGGAGGAACCAGAAGGGCTGCACTTGCTACCCAACAGCCACTGGGGACAGCAACTTAAGTGAGCAGAGACAGTCAGGAGGGGAATGATCTGCCTCTTGTCCCCAGTGCGAGGGTCCTGTGCCAGCAGGAGGTGGGACGAGAAGGCACCCACACACTGGCTCACCTACCTACCTGAAGTCCCCCATGATCACTATGGCAAAAGCCCCCTCTCTGGGTGATGGAGATGTTGAGGGGCACCCAGAGACCACCCCTTCATGCTGCTGCAGCCAGTCCCCCAGACTCAGCAGCCACTTTTTAGGATCCTGGCCCAGCCTGCAGAGGAGCCAGACTTCCCAGGGGCCACTTTCTTCCTTCCAGAATCACGGGAGAAAGTTTTCTCTTCCCAGGCAGCTCTGATCTTGGAGACCTCAGGCAAAATGCGACCCACAACATGGTTTCCCAACAAGCAAACACATGCTGGCTGGCCGGCTGGCCGGCTGGCCGCTGCTGGGTGGCTGGTGGAAGTGATGCTCCTGAAGCCAGCCCCATTAAGCTGGGTAATTAGGCCCAACAGAAACCCAAGGAACTAGAAAATCAGCTTTTACTTTCCTAGGGCCCCGGGGCTTCAGTTAACCTAATGCAGCCCCTGGGACACCTACTGAGGATAAACTTCCAGCTGGGGGCAGTGCTGGGCCACAGGAGATGTGGGTCTCTGAAGGGCTTTCAACAGGGAGAGGAAGAGGTCCCGCAGTGTCACCCTCCTCCAGAAGCCAGCCCTACAGCCGTGCTGGTGCAGGACCCCTAGCCCTCGGCAGCATTCTGTCTGAGACCCCACACCACTTCTCACTTTGACAGGGCTTCCAATAAAGCCTGATGAGCCCAGGAGGAACCTAGACTGAGGTCCAGGTGGAAACTCTGGAAAGCTTCTTCCTGAACCCTGAACACGAGGTGTTGCCCCCCCACAAAAAAAATCAATAAATTAAGAAAAAAGACCAGCAGCCTTAAAGTGCTCGAGACTTTCATGTCCCTATAGGCACATGTCTCCTCTGCCAATAATCAGTCGACCTTTCTCCCAGAAGTAGAGAAAGGGGGAGAAAGAAGAGGCCAGCAGAGGCTGACAGCTTCCCAGCAGCTCAGGCTAAAAAGTTTTGCTGCCAGCACCAGCATTTACTGTGGTTTCATAACCTGTCTCAAACCAGAGCCCGCAGCAACTCGGTTCTCTTAACCAGTGTTTGCTGCTAGCTCTTAGCTCTTCTTATCCCAACCCTTCACTCCCTGGGCCCGGCACACAAATATCCTGGCTCACGCCAAGACCAGACAGCGCCCCAGGGCGACCACTAGGTGTTTCCCAGTCCTTCCCGCAGATAAAGGCAGCTCTTTAAATAGCTCGCTTACCGCCTTCTGGGTGAGCAGCGCCACCACCCACGTCCCGGGACCCGACGGGGAGTCCGCCGCAGCACCCCACGATGCCACTTCCACTCGGTCCGCTTCCCCAGCCTGCAGGCCCGGCTGCAGCCGCTCACCTCTCCTCGGCCCAGTCTCCCCTCGCCAGGAGGCGGAGGGGGAAGAAAGCGAAGCCTCGCTGGCCCCGGGGCAGGGAGGCGGAGCCTCGCCTTCGTTGGGGTTTTCGGAGCGGGACCCCCAGCGGGCCCACCCCCATCTGCACGCGTTCTACCCCCGAAACCCGGCCGCTCCACCCCGGGCCTCCTGCTCCCCTTTCCTCGGTGGGCACCCTTCGGGCGACGCTCGCCTCGACCCTCAGCCACCCTGCCCAGGTCTCCCCCAGCTCTGCAGCCTCCCCAGAAGCCCCCGCATCTCCCCCGCCCCTCCTCCAGCCACCCCAAGACCGCCCTCCGGACTCACCGAGCGGTGGGGGGGAGGTCGAGGGCCCGGGAGAAGTTCCCGGGAGCTGGGACCGCAGCTTCAACCACCAGCGGAGGTGGCACCCTGCTGGCACCTATCACCGAATCAGCGCCCTGCACCGCCCCACGGTGACGTCAAACCCCGCGCCGGTCTCGCAGCGCCTCCTGGGAATTGTAGTTCCCCGTGGTCTCCGTACTCGAGTCGTGCTGCGCCCCCTGGGAGTTGTAGTTCTCCGCTGCCTCTGTGGCCCGCTCCTCCAGGAAATTCGGTTCGGACTTCGCTGGGGTCTGAGCAGCCTAAGGTTTTCCGGTGACGATAATAAGATCGGGCGGTATTACTTTGGTGTGTAGCAATTCCAGCTTTTGCACCTATGCCCTTGAAGTGTGGTTTACGTTTGCCAGGGTTTTGCAGAGGAAAGTTTTAAATAACTTTCAGGAGATCCCAACTGGGATGTTCTGATCCCAAGGCCAAAGTTTTCTCCGCTGCACCCCACTGCCTGAACCCTAGTCCCATCCAGAACAGGGCTCACCTTGCCCTTTGCCCTACCGGACCCTCCTGGGATTGGATTTTCAGACCCTTGAGAGGATGAGGGTCTGCAGGGAGCCTGCGGGGAACGGGAGTCCAGACCCGGCCTGCTGCTCAGCCGCACCTGATCCAGGCTGGCCTGGGCCGGCCACGTGCTGGGTCTCCCCCCATCGGACATCAGAACAGGCCGGGTATCACAGCAAGAACCATGCATGAAGAGTTAGGAGCCAGAGTTGCTGCCTCCCGTCCGCGTGTGGCTTTGGGGCCGGAGGGTGAGGTCTGCAGTTTTCAAGTCTGCATGGTGTGAAAGCGAGGGCACAGATTTCACGGCGGGGTAGGCATAGTGTACACGTCAGTCCCTTTACTGAGCGTGTAACCCGAGCTGATTGTGCGCCTTCATCTCCGGCCCCGCACCTGTGAACCACTACCTCCCAGGTTGTTATGTGAATTCCGAAGCACGCAGTAAAAGTCCTACTGCACTGCAGGAAGCAGAACTAAATGGCTCCTAACGTCTCCTGGGCCACTCCCACTGTGCGAGTCAACAATACGCCTTGTCTGGGTGGCTCAGTCCTCGCTCTGCCCTGCGCAGCCCGGCTGGAATAGCAGGATCCTGTGATGCCATGGCACGCCAGCTCGCTGGGTTGTAGTGCACCGGAAGTGAATGCGCGGGCGCAGGAAGAAGGCTGGCCCAGGCTACCTGGCCCAGGACTTCCCACCCTCCTCTTCCAGGAGGCAACCGGGAACCAGTGGCCACAAGGCTGGAGTGGACCCAGGAGGCAGCTGGGTACTGAACCGCCCACAGGAGGCGGCTTCTCAAGTGTTTCCAGAACGCTTTCCCACGATCAGAGCATTCAGCCCAGGCCCTGAAAAAGCCCTGTCTTGTGGCCCCCAAAAGTGCCTGCTGGTTGGTGGACGCCCCTTTCCTGACGGCTATCAGTGACGTCCTCACAGAATCCTGCCTGGTTACCGAGGACGCTGCCTGGAGGTTTTCCAAAGTGAGCCTGCTCTGTGCCTTTGACTTCTCCCTGGGATTCTTCCCTTGTCCATCAGGGTGGCCAAACTCTGGGTCTTGGCCAGTTTCCTCACATTTCTGTGAACTGCAGTGACCAGACAGGGACCCCATCACCCATGACGCTCCAACAAATGCTGTCCAGGGGAAGGTGGCCAGACAATACGACCTAGGAATGGGTCCTGTCTACCAGGGTCTCCCCCAACTCACTCGGGTTGTGGTCGCCCTTGGTCACTCTCTGCTTTATTTAGCCACAGTCCCTGTCGTCACCCTGTCTTTCTGTCTCTGCAGCTCGTGGCCCTCATAATTACTTGCTTCCGGCATCTTTCCACCATGGCAAGCCCTGAGCCTCTTCAGGATGAAGGGCAACCCCCAGGACAAATCAGAACTGAAAACCATTCATGCCTTGGGGCCATGACACATCTGATAGCCTGTCTCTCTCTCTCTCTCTCTCTCTCTCTCTCTCTGTGACAGGGTTTCACACCTTAGCCCAGTGGCCTCAAACACACAGTGATCCTCCTGCCTCAGCTTCCTGAGCGCTGAGATAACAGGTGTACACCACCACATCCTGCTTTTTGAATCTCTTAAATAATCTTGGAAATGAAAAAAAGGAAGGGAAAAAAACACAGATCAAAACAAATCAAGAGTCAATCAAAAGCGACAGCACTCTTACTGTGATACTGATTCAGGCAAACCAACTTTTTAAAACAAATTGTATTAAGTTATCAGGATCCAAGTATGGTGGACCACACCTGTCACCCTAGCATTTGGGAGGCTGAGACAAGAGGATCGCCAGGAGTCCAAGGCCAGCCTGGGCTACATGGTGGGACCCTGTCTTAAAGCACAAAACCAAACCAAAATATACAATAAATTATCAGGCAAATTTGAATACTGACATCATCATCATTATTATTATTATTATTATTAATAGATTTAGAACAGAACTCCAACTACATCTTCATTGGTTCACTTACAGAGGAAGATGCCATATAACTTGATTTCTCAAGTCGTAAGATTTCTCAAGAGAAACAAGTTATCTGTTAATAATCATTAAACATACATATATTGAAATACCAGATTGGCTTTCAGAGAGAAACACTTAACTCTGGTATTTTATTGTACTTAATCACAGGGGGGAAAAACCCAGAATATTAGTAAGAAACAATAACTTCCATACATAGTAAATACAAATAGACTAGCAACATGACTTCGGCCATCTTTTATAGAAAAAAAGTGGTACCTCTTCAATGAATTAAGCAGCACATTTTCAAAGATCAGGGACACTAAACCATTCAGTTGGCTTAGACTTCGTTCCCTTCAATAACTAGGGGGCAGGCCCGGCGATTCTGCTGCCCACCTCGGGAGCACAAAGACCTGAGTTCAATCCCCAGTACAAAAAATTAATAAATAAGTAAAATAACTAGGGGGAAAGTCACAGAGGCAATTTTTCCCCATTTGTATCTAGTTTATTGGTACTTTTTAAGTATACTGTGTGTTTACAGTCATCATTGAGATCTTGTACCTTTCCATGACAGACCTTGGTTTTCAGTTTTTTCCCATTCCCCTGCCCTCCCTTCACCCCGTAAGAGGAAAATTATTAAACCTGGACGATGGGGACATGAGGGTCCCTCCATAACTTTCTCTGCTTTTTTAGGTCTGAAATTGTTCACAATAAAAGGATTTTCTCAGTCCCACGAGGCAGCGCACGCCTGCCATCCCAGCTACTCGGGAGGCTCAAGACAGCAGGGTTGCAAGTTCAACACCAGCCTGGACGACTTAGTGAGACCCTATCTAAAAAGTTAAAAAAAAAAAAATTGAAAGTTTGAGGGTGTATTTCAACATTCCCTGGCTTTCCAGTACTGTAAAAAGTAAATGAATAGGTAGGTTTTTCTAAGCTCTCACATGTTCATAATTATAAGCAAAGACCCAGGCACCAGGTTCCACCCCCAGCCCCTTGAGTTACTGGCTGTGTGACCTCAGGCAAGTCGCTGAACCTCTCTGTGCTGCAATGACCTTGTTTCTAACTCAGATAGTGGAATCCTGGCAATACCCACCTCAGGCTGTGAGGACTAAAGGAGTCAACAAAGGTAAAACACCAAACAATTCCTGGCACACAGAGAAAGCTAAGGGTTACCTTCATTAATCCATCCCACCTGATAAAAGAGCCTCTCCTAAATGATAGAAATTCCACAAATGCAAAAGCAGACCTGGTCTTAGGATGGAGGGATGGGGGGGCGATATTTTTCGCACTCTCGTTTCAAATTTTGTGTCATGCGATATGACTTTCACATTTTTTGTGAAATGTGTTCATAACAGAGTCAACCAGGGAGTCAACCAGGGCCAGGGATTCAGCTCAGTGGTTCCACTGCCTGCTTTGCAAATGCCAAGACCTGAGTTTGATCCTTGGTATCCCCCCCCCAAATAAATAAACAAATAAAGAGTCAGCCACGACACAGGCTCTCCCTGCCCTCTGGGAGCTGCTTAGTCTACTGAGGGGACCTGGTCCCCAAACCTAGGGGGTTTCACGGGGTGGGGACTCTGCTAGTGACAGACATCACGGCAGGCAGGATGGATAAACCAGGAATGCATTCCCCAAAGGTGACAATAGCAAAGAGAAGGCCCAAGAAATTCTGTCCTGTCGGTCTTGGGAGGCTGAGGCAGGAGGGTCACCCCAAGTTCAAAGAAAGCATAGACTACATAACAAGACCCTCTCTCAAAAAACAAAAGAAGAAAGCCTGTCCCCTGCCCTGACTCTTGGGGTAGAAAAGCTACCCCCACCCCCACTGCTTCCCAGATTGGGGTGCTGAGGGCTGCCCAGAGCAAGTACAAGGAAGGAGAAGCTCTCCGCCTCCTGGACAGTTATTTTGTGTTTCTGCTGCAGGGGAGGGGACAAGGCGGTGCCAAGCAGGCGAAAGAGCCCTGTGTGAGCCTCCTGAGAATTTGGGCAGGCCAGGCAAGACAGCAGCAGGACTGAGGTCTCTCTCCAGCGCCTCCCTCGCCCGCTTGGCTCTTTTAGGCTGCAGTGGGAAAGGGCCAAGCTGCCAGGGCCCCTAGGCACTGAGCCAACGCCTGGGTGCCAGAGCTCCCAGGGCAGGTGCTGCAGGAACCCTTCATCCGCAGGATGACACCAGGAGGGGCCTGGGTGCGCCCGGCACGAGTGGCTTTTTAAGCTGCTGTATTCTCGTCTTTCCCACACACTGGATGGCAAGCCAGGCCCCTGCCAGGTTCCGCCGAGCAGCACCGCGGCATCCAGGCCAAGGTTTCAGGGATTTGTTTCGTTTTGGTCGCTGTGACTGGTCCCCACCCTTCAGTGACATTCTCAACTTTGCCTTTCTGCCTGGTTGGCCCTGTGGTCCTTGGATGCTGGAAGTGGCCCATGCCGTGTTCAAAGCAGGAGAAGGCAGGCTTGGCCCCCTCTCCTACCACAAATCAGGGACTGTCCAGAAAGCTTGCCAGCACCTCCTACTTAGACGCCAGAGACAGCTGCTGCCACCTCCAGCTGCCAGAGATGCAGTCTCTGTCCAGATGTCCAGACTGCTTTGAAGGATGTTTGAACAGCTTTTTCAAAACAAAACAAAACAAAACAAAATCTTATATAGCCCAAGCTGGCCTCAAATGCTTTGTGGTAATCCCCCTGCCTCAGCCTCCCAAATGCTGGAATTATAAACATGCATGCCTAAACCTGGCTTCGTGGCACTTTTTAAAGAGCCCCAAGTGATTCTAACATGCTGCTGAGTTTGAGACCCAGTACCTTGAACAGCCAGCATCTGGGCTGGGGATGTAGCTCAGTGGCATCACACCTGCCTGGCAAGTACAGCGTCCTTGATTCCCAGTACAAAAAAAAAAAAAAAAAAAAAAAAAAAAAAAAAGCCAGCATCTGCACAGAACTAAGAACAGCCTGAGCCTGACATCCCAGCACTCCAGAGGCCGAGGCAGGAGGATTGCTGTGAGTTCGAGGCCAGACTGGGTTACACAGAAGGTTTAAGGCCAGTCTGGACTGCACAGAGAGACCCTGTCTCAAAAAGCAAAGAAAACTGAAGGTAAACCTCAGGGTTAACTCCATGGATGTGCCACCTGGTAGTTGCACCAGATTTGCAGAGATGGGCCTGGTTCTGGTCCCCCAAACAGCTTCCTGAGTCAGGGTCCATGCAGGACCAAGGGGGCCGTGGGGTCAGAAGGCCAGGCACAGGGTGCTGGTGAGTGTGAGTAGAGACCGGCGAGCAGCAACCGGACTGTGTTGGCCTCAGACTCCCTGGAAAACTCGGGTCACATTCTAGACCTCAGTTTACCTACCTGCCATCGAAGATGGCCTGATGAACAACCTCTCCTTTTGGCAGGGCTGCCCAGGGCTGTGGAGATGACCGTGGATGTGGATGGCCCCTCTGCCACCTTGGCCCGTGGTGGCTTTTCTCCCTGGACCCTGCAGAGGAAAAGGAAGAGGAGGGAGGAAGGCACCGGCCGTGGGGCTGACATCATGAAGGAGGCCATGGTGTGCACCGGAAGATGACGCTCGAAACAGCCAGTATCTGCATAGAGCTATTGGCAAAGGCAGACTCAAAGCCAGGTGCCAGGGTACACACTCATAATCCCAGCTACTCAGCAGGCTGAGGCAGGAGGATCTAAAAGTCAAGGCCAGTCTGAGCAACTTAGCAGGACCCTGCCTCAAAAATTTCTGTTTGAATTTTGGAGACAGAGTTTCACTATGCAGCCCACACTGACCTCAAACTCACATGGATCTTCCTGCTTCGGCCTCCCGGGTGCTTGGAGTACAAGCATGGGCTGCCATACCCAGCTTCTTTTCTCAAAAGTTTACAAAAATTTGTAAATGGCTAGGGGTGCAGCTCAGTGGTAGAGAGCTTGTCTCTGGTGCACCAGGCCCTGGTTCCATCCCCAGCACGGCTAATAATCATGACAGGAGGAGCCTTGGGGCTCTGGGGTCGAGGTGACTTGCCAAGGCCTTCCGACTTGGGATCCAACACCCACTGGACATGGGGGCAGCAGAGGGGGAAGGGGAGCCCTCTTCGGTTCTTAGGCACAAGGAGGAGTCCAAAGTGCCAGACTGTGTGCCCCAGACTCTGCCCTATCGGGAAAAGCTGGATCAGTCCCAGGACAAGGCATAAAGTCACCAGCAGCCCTCCACAGGAACCAACGAACATTGAGCCATGGCGCCCCCTGGCGGACAAATGGGCCTGCACCTGTGAGCCAGATGCGGTCCTCTGAAGAGAGGGGTTTCCCGGGCAGAAGCGCCAAGGGCCAGGAAACAAATTGCTGGAGGCCTTGGATGGAGACGGAGTCTACGCGGGACTGCTGCCCTGCCCGCCACGCAGCGATCTTCAGCCCAGCCAGGCTCTGGGCAAGGCAGGGAGTCCTGAGACTCAGTCTCAGAAGGTGGAAGATGGCAAGGACAGGGCTTTGAGGGGGAACCCAGGGATAGAGCCGCAAGTGGGGCCTGGGCTCCCAGGGCAGAGGTCACGGGGACCCGGATCTGTTCTTTCCGCCATCACCTGGCCTGGCGGTGGATCAGGTATCCGACACCCGGGACCCAGAGTCACATGCCAGGAAACCCAATACCCTTGCGCCCCAGGCCCAGCTGACAACTGCTACCAGCAAGCAGGGCTTTGGAGGAGGAAGTGGATCTCAGAGCTGCGGCAGGGGAGAGGACAGCAGCCAGGAGGACTCGGCCACCAAGAGGGTGAGTGGTGGGGGAGGTGGGAGAGCACGAGGGAGGACGTGGCAGGCTGGGTGCCCCCAGGAAAGGGGTTTGGTGGGCACAGGAGGTGGGGCCTGGGTCCCCAGGCACCTGGCCCAGCTGGACCCCCTGAGTCCCATCTCTGATCTGTCTGCCCTTCTTGTCTCCCTCACGCTAGTGCCGACCCAGTCCACTTGGCAGCCACCCAGGCAGGTAAGGGTCAGTCTTTCTTCTAGGGAACTCGGTCCATGGGCAGAGGCAGAGACAGGAGACCTCAGACCCAGTCTGGTTGGACAAGGATCCCCTAGATCAGCCTTCCAGGTCCACGGAGCCCAAGTCTCCAGCCCTGAGGACGCTTTACCTTAAAGCGCCCTGGATCGAGAGCCTCGGGAGGAAGAGAACAGGGCACCCTGGCCCACAGACACCGCACAGAGGGGCCCAGGGCAGAGGGCTGGCACTGGGCTGGACATTGCTCTTTCTCAGGCCATCTCTCCCCTCCAGGTCCATGCCGGCCCAGGCTATGCCCAGCTGCGGCCATGTTCCTCCCAGCCGCTCAGCTCCTGCCCCTCCTGCTGGCGATGAGCACAGGGGGTGCCATGCCCAGTGCCCAGGCCCCTCCGCAAGGCTGCTACGTGGCCGAGGAAGAAGGTGAGCGCACGTTCCGCTGCAGCCAGGCGGGCCTGAGCGCTGTGCCCGCGGGCATCCCCAACGACACCCGCAAGCTCTACCTGGACGCCAACCAGCTGGCATCCGTGCCTGCCGGTGCCTTCCAGCACCTGTCCGTCCTGGAGGAGCTGGACCTGTCCCACAACGTCCTCGCCCACCTCTCGGGGGCCGCCTTCCAGGGCCTGGAGGGCACGCTGCGCCACCTGGACCTCTCGGCCAACCGGCTGGCCTCTGTGCCCGCGGAGGCCTTCGTGGGGCTGCAGATCCAAGTGGACCTGTCCGCCAATCCATGGCATTGCGACTGTGCCCTCCAGGAAGTGCTCGGGCAGGTGAGGCTGGCACCGGACACCGGGGCGGGCATCGTGTGTGGCCCCGGAGCCCGACCGGACCTGGTGGGGCAGGAATTCCTGCTGCTGGCCAGGGAGGAGGAGCTGTGCAGCCCGGGGCCCGGCGGGACCCAGCGGAGCACCGACGTGGCCCTGCTGGTCACCATGGGCAGCTGGCTGACGCTGGTGGTGGCCTATCTGGCCCACTACGTGTGGCAGAACAGCGACGGGGGCCGGCGTGCTCTCAAGCGGGCACCCGTGCTGCCCATGCGCTCGGAGGACTCGTCCACCCTCAGCACGGAGGTCTGACGGCCACGCCCCGGTCCCCACCCCGGTCCCCACCCCTCTCCTCGGCCCCTCTTCTGGCTGCCTTAAATGCCCATCTCCGCCCCACACACATACGCGCACACCCACGCACATATGCACATGCGCACGCACATCCACACAAACCCCACCTTTGGTGCCTGGAATTTGGGGGCCCCCTCTATGCCTGGATTGTGCTAGACTCAGAGAACCCGGAGCTCCTGACTGCGGTTGGGGGAGGAGCTGGGCGGAGAGAGGGGCTGGAGATCAAGCTGAGGGGGAAGCTGGGGTGCGGCTACACGGAGAAAGACAGAAGGACGCTCTGGGCCCCTCTCTTCTCCCCGCCTCTCCTGGGGCGTCCCCTCTTCCCGTGGACCCGTCTTCTGGGGCCTGTGATAGGACCCCTGGCTCAAGGCCCCCTACTTCCTCTCCCACCTCCCGGCACCTCTGCCGCTTCCTGTGTACACTCAGGGGGTTCCGAGCTGTCCCTTCGAGGGCCGGTGGTCTCCTCTGAGACAGAGGTGAGGACGGTGGTGGGCAGCTGGGGCCCCAGAGCACCGCTCCGCAGCCCAATAAAGTCCTTTTCGTGAACCCTCCCACCTCCGATCGGACACGCACGGCCTGGCAGTGGGCACAAGCCCCAAAGGTGTGGTGCTCTTCGGGCCCTCCGGAGGTGGGGCTCCCCGGGATGCTCGCCACCTTCCTCCCCTACCCTGCACCGGACCCCAACTGCTCAGGAAGCCAGGACCCCTGAATTACTGACAACGGAGCCGGAAGGCTGGAGCAGGAGAGGGCCCCCCCCCCGGGGAGGAGGCCCCGCAGGAGCGGGGATAAGAGGGTCCTAGGACCCAGGAGGGGACCCGGGGTTTGGTACTGCTTTGGGGGAGCCCATGACAGCTCAAATTGGAACCCGAACCAATTTGAATCCCCGGACTAGGGCTCCACCCAGCTTAGGGCAGAGGGGCTGGCTGTTGCCTCAGGAGTGGCAGAGAGGAATCCGTCTCTTTATACCAAGACACCAGCCTGATTCTCAGCAGGGAGTTCCAGGCGGGAAAGGACCCAGGGAAGAGAGATCTGCCTGCAGTCCAGCTCAGGAGCAGGGAGTAGCTGCTCCACCAGCTCCCTGAATCCCTGTCCCTCTCCAGCCTGGGGACAGCAGGGTAGATGCCCCAGGGACTCACCTTCCCTCGGCCCACGCAGTGGCGACCCCAAGTCACAACTCGGTGGGGGAAGATGCTCATCGCAGGAGGCTGGAACAGTCCCTGGTCCGCTAGGCCCCTCCTGCGGTGCCTGGCTGGTGCCAACCCATGGAGCAGGCTGGACTGTGGGCGTAGCTGCTTCCTCTCCCCCTCACTGCTGCCAGGAACTGGGGGTCACAGGCCCTGGTTCTGTGAAGCCCCTGGCCCTGGCAAGGCAGCTGCACAGCCTCCTGGATGCTACACGCTGCAGCTCTTTTGCCTGGAACAGAGGAAGAGAAGGGACTCAGCGTGTCAAGACCAGCCTCCCGCCCCCGTGTGTGCCAGAGCCACGACAAAGGGTCCAGATGTGAAAGAATGAGGCCCTTCTTCTCCAGGGAGGACTCCGACCCTAGAAACCCTCATTCTCTACAAAAAGGATGGACGGAGAAGAATCCGTGCCCTGGAGGCCCAGAGCCGGGAGCCAGGACCCAGGACCACGCAGGGAGGCAGGAAGACCAAGCAAGACGGGGCCCCAAGAGCCCTTGGCCCCTCCACACGCTCTGCCCTCCCCAAGAGAATGTGGCAGGGAAGCAACAGGGAGACCAGGGTGGGGCAGGGTGCAGCTAGATGGGAAGGGGCCTCACCCCACCGCCACTGAGTGCCAGGCTCCTGTCCGTCCTGCCCTCCTGTCCCGGCTGTTGGCCACGGTGCAGTGAGCACCACCACCTGCTTCTGGTGGCCCCGGCCTGTCCCCTCACTGCAGTCCCTGGGGAGGATGGGATCCCTGTGGGATGCCGGAGACAGAGAGATATCCCAGCGACAGCCACACCCCAGGGCCAGGTAGCCCCGGCCACACTGAGGTGAGGGAGGCTGGGGTCCTCCCTTCCTATGTGGGTTCCCCCAACATCAGCTGGTGGCCCCCTACCCTCCCGGACCTCCCATCCTGAGGCCACGCTGTGGGGCGCAGCCTGGAAAGGGGAGGAGGCGGCAGTGCCAGCCGGGACCCCACTTCTGACCCTCCCGACATCCCGCACGCACGAGAAGCTGAAGAAGTTCCCTGCGAAGGAGGGGGAAGCCGGCCATCGCCTTCACCGATGGGGGCCAGGAAGAGGGGAAAAGGTCAGAGGTAGAAAGTTAGAGGGGTGAGGGATGGAACGAGGTGAGGACGGGGATCTGGAGCACTCTGCCGCCCTAGGTAGGGAGGCCGAGCCCCAAGATCCCCGTAAGGGGGGACCTCGCACCCCGACCAGGGCCGCTCCGAGGGGGAGCGTCAAGGCCCGAGCCCTGGCGTGAGAACTCCTGGGCGAGGTGGGGAGGACGCTGGTCACCACGATGCTTTCCCAAGGCTCAGACTGGGCCTGAGGCGACCCCGGGAGCAGCGTCTGTCCCTGCAGGCTGAGGCGGGAGGCGCGCTGCAGCGCCGCAAGGTGGCACTCAGGTGCGAAGCCGCCCGGGCGGACAGGATGCTTTGGCCACCG